TGCTCTTAGCTTCTAAGATCTTCACTTAAATCTTTGGTGAAATTCTAATGATTTTGTCCTTGATGATTATAACCTTGTAGCCTGATGAAACAGAAATTCACAATGCTCACAAACCCACAATCCTAGTTCCACAAATCATGATTGATGAAGGAATCAGTTGAATCAATCTAATCTAATATATATACACCTTAAAACAACTATGAAACTCTAACCACTGATCATTGATCCCATGCCAAGCTTATGATCAATGATGCATGTTCTATTGTATGGCCTAATGGAAGTAATGCATATGAGAAAAGTAAGATGCATAAGCCAGATGATTTTATTAAAGGGTAAGATAAATTTAGGGTATGACAACTATGTCCCCAGCTTCGGTCAAATACATTGTTATGTGTTCGACAGTAGATTCATTGGTGTCACTAGAAAATTTCATGAACTTTGGGACTTTCCATCCCCTTGGTAATCCAGTATGTAAAAAGTATTCAAACAAAGGAGAAGTATAGTTTGACCTTGGAAGGCCTACATTTACCCCATTTCGAGCCATTATCCTTTCGACCATGGCTACCAGATTATTTTCTCTTGCAAATTCGTCTTATCGAACACGGTGAAGGACTTCGTCTGCATCTTGGTTTCGATTAACCATTACTACCCTTAGGGCTTGAACTTCCCTTGATATTTCTTGTTCGATCCCAGGTTATTTGATTCTTTCCCCTGGTTGACTTCGCCAACATTTGGTGCCATTGGTTGCGCTTGGTTAATGGTTGGATCTTCTTCGACAACCATCCCCTGGTTTTCTCTTATCCATTCTCGACAGGGGTGTCGAACTGGGGCCCGATGGTCCTAAAGAAATCTGTAATTTATGTCATCTACGCTGTCAATTGTTGATTCATTTGTGCATTTTGTTGGTTAGTTTGGGTAGAACTTTGGATCAAAGGGTTAAAAATTATACCCATTTGTTGGGCTAAAACACCAAATATTTCATGACTACTATCATCCATTTGTTGTCTAAATGTCGCCGCATAATTCGTTGTAATGGTAGGTAATTGGGCAGCGAATCCTGAGGGTGAGACATTTCGACCCATGTTATTAATACCTGATCTTGATCCTTGTAGTGGCGAAAAAGTAGACACTCGTGGACCAGGGAACGTTGATGTACTATTATTTAAACTCTCCATCATTGATGTTGGCATACCATAGATATGTTCTCGGCCATCCATTGTCATAGTAAATCCAAACGCAAAATGTCTGAAGTTATTCGTCCTTGGAGGCCTTGGGGTCACTGGCGGACTCTGTGTTCGCACTAGGGATAGTACTGGGCCACTATACGTGTTCGTCGGTATTCCTGTCGTACTTGATTAAACAAGTATCAATTTGGTTATGAAAACTATAGTTGTACTCTCCTGTGTCGAAGGGGGTGGTTGTTCTCCATTATTGCTTGATGGATTCACCATTTTTCGAACGTATTTTCTTTTGGGTAATAATTAGTTGTTTCTGTCTATTCTACCACTTCGTAGTCTCATGCAACAATGTTAAAGAACAAATTTTGTATGAACAATAGTGACAAATTTCGAACAAAATAAAAACTAGGTCTCATTGGACGTGCCAATTTATTTACCGTGAAATTTGGTAAACAAGTGCTTGTCTTCTGAATCCTAGAGATTCTGGTTGCTTACAGGATCGATTAGATTGATCCTAGGACAATAATGTATATTTTTATAAGTTTTTTGGATGTCAATATCTTCGATAGAGATTGTTATTTCGAAAGTAGTAATAAAATGATTTAAAGTAAAAAATGGAATGTAAAGCAAAATATATTCAAACTTAAAAGGAATGTAAATGAATTCAATTGAAAAGGAATGATATTGAATATAAAATTGGTGCTTTATACGTACATTCTCAGCAACTCGTTTCTTGAACACTTGGTACTTTGAGTTATTTTGAAACTAACTACCACGAACAATCTTCTTTTTAGAGGATGACACGTCCTTATTTGCATGTCTCTAGCCTTTCGCAGACTTCCACGTATCTCTTTCAAAGATCAAATGAACGCTAAAATCAGTTATAGCCTCATTTGAATATCTGTCGAATCCGCCTCGAGTATCTTCAGAAAATTTTCTAAGTCATTCGCTTCATATTGTTTCGTCCGTATAGACTCGATTGAAAATGTGTCTTCTAACTAGGGGTGGAAAACGGGCATGTCTGCCCCGTTTAGGCCCGCCCCACAAAAGCCTGCAGAAAATGGGGCGGAGCGGGCATAGTTGAGGATGAAAGTCTAAAACCTAGGTCTGCCCCGCAAAAAAGTGAGTACAGGACTGAGAAAGTTTGCGGGTACTGCACCTTTTAAGTCTAAAAATACAAAATTTTATGCTAATGCTCATGCCCACAAAAGCCCGCAAAGAAAACAGGGCGAGGCGGAACGGTCACATTAGAGAGTGAGAGCTTAAATTCTTGGCCCGCCCCGCACTAAAGTGTGAGCTAAACGGGCATGTCCAACGGGCCAGGTCTGTTTTGCCACCCATACTTCCAACACTTCAAGTCGAAATCAGCCTTCATCATCTCACACTTGTCTTTCGAATTTCCCTCAAATCCTTTATTCGTTGGAGCGTCGAAATTACAGCTAACAGGTAGCTTCTTGGTTAGACATAATTTAAGTACGTTGTCGAAGTTTGTTCACATGTTGATGTCAAAGTCATGCATGCTCTAGTCGAAATGTATTCTAGCATGCAGTAGTCAAAATGTTAGGTTTGTTAGCATGTTGAGTTTTGTTTTGTCAAATTTTTAAAGTTAACTTGTAGTCTAAGTTAGCTTAATAGTCTATGAATAAACTAGTTCTCTTAGGTTGTTGAGAGAGGTGATTGTTGTTATTCACTTGTAATTTGTAAATCCTAATCGAAAAAAGTGAATAGAAAAAACAGTTACAATCAATCCTAATTTTCTCTTTCTTCTTCTCTATTCGCTTAATTTTGTGAAAATCTAATAAGGTTTCTTGTGTTAGTTCAAGAAACTCAATCTTTCTCTTAATTTTAATTTATTTTCTATAACACTTCGCTACAATAGAGACTTTAATGAATAAAGATTATCACAAGGTCTATTGTAACATCTTTGTGTATATATATATATATATATATATATATATATATATATATATATATATATATATATATATATATATATATATATATATATATATATATATATATATATATATATATCGTTTTAGTATATTTTATTATTTATTCAAAAATTTATCCTATATATAAAGTAATTATTTTAATAAATTAGTAATATTGTAATTAACCTTAATTATGCACTCGTTGTGTTAAGATAATTTTACATATATATTTCTTGAATTTAATAATTACATTGAGGATAACTATTGTATTTATTATTTTAATATTTTAATAATTTGATAAATAATAATAATATTTTAATTTAAATATATTTATAAATAATCTTCGTACACAAACACAAGTAATTACAAAAATTTGGAAAAGATAAAATTGGAGCTAGTAAAATGTGGTTTGGGAGAGAATGGAACTCACGCGAAGTACTTGAGTGTCTTGGTCAAAAGCATAAGCAGAGAACACAGAGTTTTGATTTTCTTTTATTTGTATGATACAAAATGTGCAGAGCAGAGAGGAAAAATAATTTGTTTGAAAATCATAACAAGAAAGAATCGTCTTAATAGTACATACGTCCATAACATATTGGAAAGCGCTTCTGCTCTTAACTACAAATGCAAAGTAGGAAAGAATGGACACTTTTGAATAGTAAAGTGAACTTGATGGATAATTGTAAAGTTTTGGTTAAAGATGTCGAATCTAGCGTTTAGAAATTATAATTTATTTCACTTCCCGTATGTAATTAAGTAAGTTGAAACTATTCTTTTGTCTTAAATTTATTTATTATGTAAATAATATTTAAGTATTATTTATTTTTAGATGGTCTGCTAATGGAATGTATTACGAAAAGACTTATTATCATTGTGCGCCTGATTATCGGGCTTTCATCGATCGTATCGAAGAAGCTGATGTAATATTCTTAACCATAGATTACTAATAATTACTACTATTTTATAGTTCGTTAAACTAATAACTGATTTTTTATAATCGTTTACGTGGAGGTCCTATCTAGGATTTGAAGATATCGATCTGATTGATAGTCACGTGTGGAGTCTAAAAATATTTATCATCTGTTTTACTACAGTTGAAATACATCATACTGATAGGATAAATCTCCAATTTAGCATTCTGCAAGACATACCGGATGCTCTAAAGTACATGGAGGAGTATCACAATAGTGTGGTGAACGACCAATGGACATATAACAGTTGAAAAGATCATTATAAACAGGAGTGTCGTCAATGGCATAACCGCGAAGATAAAGTCTTACAAGGAGATGTCATGTCAGAAGAATGTAAACCGAGTAAGGAATACATGGAATGGTATAAGTCTGTTACAAATTTGTATCTGTCACCAAATAACTTCTTATATCAAATACTTACACCCAACAACCATTCATGAGCAACCAAAAATCTTTCTTTAACACCCAACAATCTTTCTTCCCAACACAACTAGGCATGGCAAAAAAATCCAGACCCGTTGGGCCCCGCCCGGACCCGCCCCGAAATTAACGGGGAAAACCCGGCTAAAACGGGTGCGGGGGCGGGTAAAACCCAGTTTCTAACTACGGGTGCGGGGGCGGGGGCGGTAAGACACTGAGACCCTCCCGCACCCGCACTCGCCCCGCCCCGAATAATCCAATTACTATAATAACCTTGTTTTAATTATTTTTATGTTACTTTTATTTTCTCAGATTTTCTCAAGTCTCATCTTCTTCTCTCAAATCTCAACGCAAAATCACCGCAAGTCCGCAACGGCCGACGGCATTGCTGCCATCACCACTACCACAACATCATCCCATCGACTTCGCCGCACACCAGCCCCTTTGCTCAGCCGCTGGATTTGAAAGGTTAGATCTATCATCCTATTAGGTTTTAATTATTGTATAAACATCCTCTCTGCATCTCCAATGTTTTTGTTTTCTTTTAGGATGATTCCCTCAAAAGTTAATTATTAGTATCATACCATCGAGTATTTAGCAAGTGCTGCGGAAATGTTTTAGAATGCAACATGTTTTAGAGTTCGGATCCCCTCCATTTTGGATCCCGGCTCCATGTTTTATACTACTAGAACGATGTTTTTGAAAATCTTTTCACCTCAATTTTGTGAAATTAGTGTTACTTTACAGTTCATGGCCACACCGAAAGGAAATAATTGAATTGTACACCAAACACAAAATGGAATGAGAACACCATGGTTAGTGATTAAATGAGAGAAAATACAGGCCTTAGCTAAGTATCCACGGAAGTCATCGGGATGAGTAGATATGAGCTGATCGTAAACAGCTATAGCATCCCCAACATGGCCCCAGTCTGAATAGGCTTTCCCAAGAAGTAATTCAACCTGAGTATCAAAGTAAGAAAAAAGAAAAAATTATTAAAGAAACCAATGTAAAATATAGACAAAATGTTTCCATTAACCCTATAACTGTAACATGGTACCAATGAAATGGAAATAGTGAAAACAGAAGAAGGGAATTGTGGTTTCTTAATTTCTAGAAATCATAGAATTGAATAAAATAGGATAGAGAATCAAGAGCTAACTGATAGTTTTATTAATAAATATAAATGGAATAGAGCAAAAAACAAAAGAAGGTTTGAAGACTTTACACTGAAAGCATCCTGTCACAATTAAGTTATGGTCGTTGTGAGATAAATCTTTTCTGGTCTTTGTACTAGAGCAATATTCTTACTTCTAAATTCTTTGATCCTTTAGTATTGTATACCTATACCAAGAATTTACAAAGAGAAGAATATCTCATTAACCATTTTCTAGATAATGAAAGTTTACTTGAATTGGATCCAGCTTCTGTGAGTCTGTTGGGCTGCTATCAGCTTTATTGCTCAAGTCTTCTGAGCTCAGACGGTCACGACAATCCAAAAGTAATTGAACAGCCTGTAGAAGAAAGATTTGAAAACATTCACTAGAACCACCGGGTGAGCAAAAGATAAACCCTATATTTCCGTAAAATATGAGCATTGAGAACCAGAATGGCCATATTATGAAATCACAGAACTATATATTAAAGACTAAGTTAATAAACAAATTACAGATTTATGTGTGCAAAACATTCATATGAAGAATCGATTATCAAGACGACAAACCTCTTCTGGCTTCTTAGCAGCAAGTAATGAATTGGTAAGGTCCCGCAGAACTTCAAAATTGATATCTTCGGATACCTGTCAGAGATCATCCAGATATACATGGATAACATTCGATGAAACTACTAAACCTAAAATAATTCATCACTAAGATTTTGTAATATAGCCTCTAGTGCCTTAAAATTTTAAACTCTAGTTCACATGGATGTACTCATTTACAAAATGCTATATAGATGTTGTCAGGGTCCTACTTTTCCAAGCTAAATTGCAGAATGAACAAAAAAAACTTAGCTTTGAAAGTCATTTAAAACATCCACCGATAAAGTGTTTGAAGTCTTTCAAAAGACTGACCTTTGCTGAACTTCTGTATGCAGCAACACTCCCATCATAATCTTTAAGTTCATACTTAACTTCTCCAAGCAAACGAAAAGCATCAGCATCATTTGGTTTTTCCTTGAAACACAAAAAAATCAGTTCAACAACTATTTTATGGTTACGCAGCATGATTTGTGCAAAATGTATTTGAAAGAGACGATTTTAATTGGAACTGTATTTTATGGTTACGTATATATTTCATTTACTAATACTAGTTTATTATATATTTCATTTATTAGTACTAGTTTATCCTTATTCTTATTTTGAATACTAGTTTATTCTTATTCTTATTGTAGCGATAAAAAATGTAGCGGGGTAAATCGGAGATCGAATTATTAATTAATTCGTCTCACAAAAGCAAGAGTCGCCACCGCGCTTTATTATTTCCAAGGGAAAAGGGGAAAGAGCGAAATAAAACCCTAAAATATGCAATGTAAAATGATACTTTCTAAAAGTAATAAAAATACAAGGCGTTTTTGAAAAGAGGTCTATGGTTCGGGGGTTGGTTATACAATGGGAAGGTATTAGCACCCAGTGTATCTATAGTACTCTATAGGAACCTTTTGAAATATCTGTTTATTAAAATGTTCGTTTGATTAAAAATAAATTGTTTTGGCCGAAAAGGGGTACGGATGGGTTTTTTGAAGGTACGACGACCTAATGTCGAAATTTTGGCTTAAAAGGTATAAATTTTGAAAAGATTGAATATTTGGGGAAAAATTGTCTTAAGTTTTAATGAAATGCAGATGTTCGCGTGATTGGACTTGAGGACATGAAGTCAACCAGTTTAATCATTTTTCTCTTGGATTTAGACGTAAACAGAATAACCAAGTAAAGATGAAATAATTTAAACAGAAAATTATGCAGATAATGATTAAATAGCTAAGTGATATACAACCATAACAACGACAAAATAACAGACTAAATGGTGTGAACATGCATTTTTGTATTTTTTTCGTTTAATATTAATTAAAGCGAGGGAATTAATTAAAGAAAATAAAATGTTTTTAAGTTTTTTTATTTTTATATGTTTTTTAATATTAATATAAAGTATTATTTTGAAAATTATTAAATAATTCTAAACCAAATTAAAAATTTAAAAGTTATTAACTTAAATCTAATTAAAAAAGAAAAACTAACAATTACTTAATTAATCTTAAAGTTAAACTTAATAGAAATGGTCAAATTATTTAAAATTGTTTTAATTAAATTACATCTCTTATTTGATTAACTTTATTAATTAACTAAATTAATAATAATCTAAAAAAAAAACTAATAGAAAGTAAATAGAAGGAGGGGTATCAAGAATCAAAAAAGTAAACCATAAATCATTGCATGGGCTAAAAGGCTTTTAAAGGGACCTAACCAAAGCAAACAGAAAAGGGGGTGTTATAAGAAACGTTTGGGCTGTTTGGCAGGAAACGGGTAAGGTCCATTCATTCACAAATTTTTTAGGGTTAAACAGATGTGTTTTAGTTTTGGGGAAACAAAGGATTAGGGTTAAGCAAATTGGTACAGAGCGGCGCTCTTCTTCTCGTGTTCTTCTTTGTTGCTCTCCTTCGTCGCTCTCATGCCCGCTTCTGAATTCTCTTGCCCATGGCCACCGGTGTTATCGACCTTCCTTTTCCCTCCAACGAGACGCTAGAGCGACAGATTCACGGTATAATTTCATTTTTATTTCGTTAGGGTTTTCATTACTGCATGTTATGATCTTTCATCCATTGATTCTGACTTCAACTTATTATGGTTATTCGAGGTATTTGAAAGAAAGAGAGGGAGAAATCGTTACCTTTGGAGATGGAGGAAGAAAGGTTGGGGGTGCTGTGGCGGCTAAGACGGCGGGGAAGACGGCGGAGGCGCGCTAGCTCGCTTTGACCCTGGTATTTCGTTTCTTTGTCCCTTTGATTTGTGGTTTGATGATGATCTGGCCTGAGAACCTTACGTGATATTTTTCTTCTTCTTCTGTTGACCCTGCCTTGCTTTGCTTATACACGCTTCTTTTCCTTCTTCTTCTGTGGGCTTGATGCTTGACTGTTGCCTTCGAATACTTTTCCTCTCTTCTTCTTTGTTGTGCTTCAGTTGCCTTTTTTATTGGCCTATGATGAATAACTCTGAGGCTTGATGGGTTTGGACATTGGTTTGATGAGTTGTGTTATTTGGTATTCTGGTTTTTGGTTTTGGTTGGATTGCTTCAGGTTTGGCCTAGCAGGTTAATGTATTTGGGCTAGTTTAAACTTGACAGGTTTTTTGGCCTTGATTGGTTAGGCTGATTGTTTGAACTGGTTTTCTGTGGGTTAAAAGGCTTCAGGCAGGGTGAGTTTGAAACTTGGCTTTGCTGTTTTTGTTTGGTCATTACAGGTTTGGGATAGAGGTTTACTTCAGGCTATGTTTTTATGGTTTATGCTGTTGGCCGTGGCTTTCATGGTTTAACAGGATATACTAGTTTTGAACTTAAGGCTTTTACTTGACAAGTTTTTGTTTAGGCTTCAGGCAGGTTGGTTTTGGCTTGAGACAGCAGGTTGGTTTTGGCTTCCAACAGGTTTTGGAAATCTGTCCTTGTTTTTTTGGCTTCTCACACGTTTTGAACTCTCTACCTTTCTTGAAGGGTTTGTTGTTGTTATAACAGTTTTGCTGGCTTCTAATGGTTCAGGTTCTGAATATTTTTACTATATTTTTTTTTATACTTCTTCCCTCTATACTGTTTTATTCAGTTGCTATATCCTTTTTCCATGCTTTCTTTTTCTGTACTATGTTACTGCTGTTTTGTTTTGTATCCCTTTTCTGCCTAAGGCCAAAACCTGTAAACCCACACTCTTTCTCTCTTCTCTCTCCTTAGTACAGTTTGACATTAAAATGAATGATGTTATGTACTTGTTCTGAAAAAGTAAAAGCTGGAAAATGATGAGAATTAGAAAATACTTTGCTTGCATATTTGGTTTTAAACTGCACATGTTTCTCTTTGTCAACTGCATTGTTACAGCATGGAGCCTTGTGTTTTTGACCTCTTCCCACATGCTGGATAGTTTACGTTGGACTTGGCCTTGAAAATTGCATATGTTGTTGAACTATGCATATGATGTTGATTTTGAAATATGCAGTTTTGACAAAAAAATTGAATTCGTGCATATGGTTTTGAACTATGCAGTTTACTTTGAAATATGCAGTTTTGACAAAAAAATGAATTTGTGCATATTTTTAACTTGTGCATTCATATTTGTCAATAAAATTCATCCCTTTTTGTGAATCGGGAGAAATCCCGTGATTTGCAAAGAGGGTAAAAACTGATTCCAGCCGTTTGCTTTTAATGATGAACGCTAAATTAATTTTCTTCTTTTAATTATATATTCATTTCTGACTTTTTCTTTTAATTCTTTGCAGGTAAAATCAAATGAGCATTAAAGAAGTATTGGATAGAAGATGAAGATTTAGAATCTTAGAAAAATTAAAATAGTTTTTATTTTACTTTAAACATTTATATAATTGTCATTGTAAATACTTTGTACATAATACAGTATTTAAACAACAATTGTAATAATTAGAATAAAGATGAATAAAATTCTATTATTTTACCAGTTAATTCTTTTCTTCTTTCCAATTATTTATTTTATCATTTATAATTCTTTAAATTATATAATAACTGAAAATCAATTCCAATTATTTAAATTTAGAATGATAAATAATTAAATAAACATCATTGATCAATTAACTTCTCTTCAATTATTTACTCCATTATTTATAATTCTTCTAAATTATAATAACTGAAAATAAAATTTCAACTATTTAAACTTAGAATGATAAATAATTAAATAAACATTGTTGATCAATTAACAAACTTCTTTTCAAATATTTACTTTATTATTTATAATTCTTTAATTTATATAATAATTGAAAATAAATTCCAATTATTTAAATTTAGAATAATAAGTAATTAAATAAACATCATTGATCGATTAACAAACTTCTTTTCAAATATTTACTTTATTATTTATAATTCTTTAATTTATATAATAACTGAAAATAAATTCCAATTATTTAAATTCAGAATAATAAATAATTAAATAAACATTGTTTTAGCATTGATCAATTAATAAATTTAGCGTTTCAAAAATAAACAGCTCTTGACTTGAAAAAGTTATGAATTTAAAAACTGCTTTGAAAGTTGATAAAAATAGGTCAAAACCCTTGCAATGTAATGATGCAGATGGGAGATGGTATCTTAGGTCAAAATTTGGGGTACAACAGCTGCCCCTATTTAAGTTTCTTCTATCCGGAGATATGAAGATTAAAATCTTCGTCTCGACGAGATTGAAGGTACTTAAATACATAATACGCAAATTTTTACCCTAAGATACCGCCATTATGTTTGATATGAATGTAGTGATTGAATTCGCAGAGAAAGATATTGTATGAAAACAAGATAATACGGGAGAAATCAAACACCAACAAAACACAGGGACAAGGATTATACAATACTGGGGAAATAAACCATTGACTTCAAGTAATAGACTCTTGACGGCGAATAAAAATTTGAGCGAATACGGACTCTGACCCTAACAAAGAAGGTATCTTGCATAGGCCATATAACGGATTATTGACCCAAAAATATCAGTGAGCTCACAACTCAAAGTCAAAGATAGACAGAGAGTATCAGATTTGCTGGCGACGGATTACCGACTTCTGAAGGTAAAGATTCATAACAAACTTCTCTGCGAGATTTCCGGAGATATACTCATTAATGCTGAAATAATAATAAGATTGCAGATACACAAGTTGCCTCAAATAAAGAAGCTGCCACTCGCTGTCGTCCAGGGATGTCAATAACATACAAGCTGCTCAAATAAAGAAGCCGCCACTTACTGTCTTCCAAAAATACTATGACATACAAGTTGCTCAAATAAAGAAGCTGCCACTTGCTGTCGTCCAGGGATGTCAATAACATACAAGCTGCTCAAATAAAGAAGCTGCCACTTGCTGTATTCCAGAAAAATAATAACGTACAAGTTGCTCAAATAAAGAGACTGCCGCTTGCCGTTTTTCCAAAAATAATAACGTACAAGTTGCTCATAAAGAGACCGCCGCTTGTCGTTTTCCAACGATGATAACGTACAAGTTGCTCATGAAGAGACCGC